AAAATCAGGAGGAAGCGACCATATAGATCGAACAACCCGAGTTGAACGAAGGGAAGACTGAGGAAGGAAACTACAGTGGGACGGTTGGCCAATCCAACCCGCCGATAGTTAGACAAAACAATCAGGATGGACGAAATGACGGACGTGGATGCAAGTACAAGGATTTCATGTCATCAAAACCCTCGCGTCTTTCTGGAAGCCCATCATCAGTATAAGTTATGGACTGGATCTCCGAGATGGAGACAATGTTTGAGAGTTCCGAGTGTAGCAACAAACAGAAGATCGCCCTTGCGGTCCCTCTATTAAAGTCTATAGAACTAAGCTGGTGGAAGCTACTAGCTAACACGATGCCCAAGGGAGAGGCAAGCAAGATGTCTTGGGAAGATTTCCTAGTACAATTAAAGATGTAGTACTGCTCCGAGCAGGACCTTCTGGAGATCAACAATGAATTCCAGAATTTGAAGAAGGGGAGGATGAGTGTCTTCGAGTATGCTGCAAATTTAACGGAGAAGATGAAGCTCGTTTCTTATCTTGTTCCAACTGAGCTCTCCAAGGTCAACAAGTTTGCCCACAGATTACCAGCGGACTTTCATCCAATGATCAAGCAAACGACCACTCTGAAAGCCACCATCTGGGCTGCTAAGAATGTGGAGACCCAGATAAGAGAGAAGGGTCTGCAGAGAGCTGAAGTTGGTGGGAAAAGGAAGCATGAAGGTTCTTCAAGGTCCAATAAGGAGAGAAAATTCCCAAAGTGTGGAGGATGAGGTGAAGCAAGATGGTGTGATAAATGCAAGACGCAACACTTTGGAAAATTAGGCGAGGAGGTGACATGTTTCAAGGGTGTAAAGACTGGACATTACGCCAATGAATGCACCGCCAACAAAAGGGTGTGTTATGAATACCGTGAAGAAGGGGATGTTTCTAAGGATTGCCCGAAGAAGAAAGAGGCGGCTAGACCAAACATTCCACCGAAACCGAAGGCAAGAGCGTTCCATATGATCCTTGACAAAGAAGATGGAAATGAAAGGGATCAGGAGTAAGGATCTATGAAGTAGTCGTGTGGTGTAGCCTATTAGATGCATAGTATAGGTTGAAATTGAACACCTATGTAATCATTTCAAGGAATAATATAAAACCTTCTTTTTGTTATTTAATGTGTCAAGTTGTTATGTAATTTTCTTGTATGGTGACTTGGAGACTGAGAGACAATACTTGGGACGAGTATGAGTAAGTGTGAAAGGTAGTAGAGGCCTATACTACCAGAAGCATAGGACTCACACTTGGATCAGGGAAAGTCACAAGGTTACCAAGAAACTAGTAATTGATTTCGTTTTATTCAAGTATGTCGTTACCATTGTTTCAGTAATGACTAAGAAGATTGTTGTTATCTCGACCCTAGTGGTCATATCACATTGAGTCTGAATATGCTGAGTAGGTTACGTGGTATAGAGAACCAAGTTTGATGTAGCGTCCGACTTAACCCAAACGATTGAAACCAAGGCGATTAGTAGAAGTATCGCGATGATTTGGTAGCTAGAAATGCTACATGTTCAAATATGATTGTATCACATTAGAATATGAAAGAAGGTATAGTATGTTCTGGAATTTGACTCTAAGAGACCTGAGTTTGAGCGTTGCGACACACGATGAGAAGTGAGTGGAACATGATCCATCAGTCTATTGTAGAAATCAAACAACTTATCTTAAGTTGTTAAGAAGAAGAAGGATTCTCCAGTAAGGATCGAGATTGTGACTTGAAGGTCATAATTTGGAGTCTAACATGAGATAGGGAGCAATTGCAAGATCGAGCACCGCCTACAGTCAGGAAATCCGAGAGTTAGATACTCGTTCGGAGAAACATCAAAGTTACAGTTATTACTTACGATGAAGAGGTAACGTATGGAGTCATCATGTGAGCCCTGTTTCGTTGATGATTCTGGGACGTAATCATCCTAAGGGGAGATAATTGTAACGCCCGTCGATCCGGTCTAGTCAATTTAGAGGCAATAGGGGTCGAAAACGACTTTTCGACAAAAGATTATTTAGAATAAATAATCTTAACCAAGTAGTAGAAAATGTCACAAGGTTTCCGTACATATAAACAATGCCAAAATCTGAGTTGTAACGAAGAATTTATGACCCGTCGAAGTTTCTCGACGAAACCGTTACGATACTGGGAAGCGTAAATAGTGAATTTACGATAGAGCGAGTTTTAGCCTTAGCGACCTAAACAAAAATCGTAGAGTATGTTAAACTATGAGCATCAATGAAAAGAACACCCAAATTCGACTTCGTATGAAGAAGTTATGATTTTTCGAAGTTTTGGATTAGTAGTGTCCGACCCGAAATTCAAATATTAGATCGAGTGATTTTAAGCCGACACGACCTAAATGAGAATCGAAGATCTTGTTAAGAGTAGCGTAACGAGAAAAATATGAGCGAGAACGGACGTCGAATGAAGATGTTATGAGAATTTAACGGACCAATCCTGTCCCGGCCTGTTAATAATATAAATTTTAAAAAAGATCAAAATTAGCCGACGGAGTCTAAACGAAAGTTGTATAGTACGTTCCCGCCTTCGCGTGGATATAAAGAACGTCAACAACGGAGCTCATATGAGAAAGATACGAATTTTTAAAGTTTGCACTCAGATTTGTGAAGCCTGATGCGATGATGATGACGTGGCCGAGTACCAACCGTCCGATGTCGATCAAAGAACTCGCTTCGGATTGCGAGATGTAGTCCTCGCCTTACGCCCCGCGTACGAAGCTCGGAATGCGCCGCGTACGCCTCGCACTCCTCGGCCCATCTGGAGCCACGTCGCCCCATCTGAAGCTCGCCATCTATCTGCCTTATCCGAGGTTACGCCCCGCATAACCTTCTGAACGCCCAGTGTAGTGAGGCCTCTCGTAGCTATAAAAGGGGGCCGAGGCAGCCTCATTTCTTGCACCTTTGTCACTTCTCTCTCTAACTTCTTTCACTCTCTATCCAATCCTAACCCCCCTAAACCCTAGGGAACGTCCCTAGCTCTCAATGGAAGCCCCGAGGCTCCCGGAGTCCTAAGAAAAACGGTCTTACGGTTTCGAAACGCTGCTCCAAATAAAGTTCTGGTTTTCTTTAAAATCCGCTATAAGTGAGCTACGCTTATGCAATTTTAATATAACTTTCAAATAACTATAGTAATGTTATTAGGCCTTTAAAATAATTATTTGGGCTATTATTATGAGTTATATTGAGTGTTATTTAACACTTATATAACAGTAATAATAGTCAGACTATTAATTAGTCGCCGTTGATGTTAGACTAAACCCTAGTGGTATTGATACTAGGTTATATCGAAAGAAAATTGTTTTATGAGTATCGAAGCACCGCCCGAGTGCTGAGTTACCACCTTTCAGGTGAGTGCATAGTTACTTTCACTACTAGAAAAATAACCTTTTACGATGCTCATTGCGCATCGTAAAAGGCTCAGACGATGCGCAAATGCGCGCGAAGGAAGGCCCTGTCATAAAGAGAGACGACGCGCATTTATGACGCTCATTTACGACGCGCATTTACGACGCCCCGTTTACGACACGCAATGCATATCAAGGAAGGCCTTGTCATAAAGGAAGATGACACACATTCGCGCGTCGTAACCTTACGACGCGCGTGTTGATGACACGCAATGCGTATCAAGGAAGCCCCTGTCAAGAAAGGTCATGCCATAAATGAAGACGACACACATTTTTGCGTATCGTAATTTTAAATGATAAAAAAAATATTATTTATAGACTTACTAATTTTCAAATTAAATTTGCATTTAATGTCTCATAATAGAAAATAAAATATCATATACAAAAAATACAATCCATTACATTAAATTTAATGTTATACAAATAATTGTTCTATGGAAAGATAAAACAAATCAATAGAAGTTGTAACGAAATTTACAAATTAATAGTTCTAATAACCTAATGTGTGCATCACTGTAAACAAGATTTGTACTGATTTTTTTAAAACCCTTGTCATCAAATGCTTCCTTGGGTACAATAGTTGTTTGAACATCTGAAATTTATATATATTTTTTTAACATTTTACAAAATTATATTATATATAATAAGCTTCTCAACACTTGTTATCAAAAAATTAATTAACTCTCACCAGGGTATTGAATTAGAGCTTGAACTCCACCATTTTTGTCAAACATTGCTATCTTTAAAACAGACCCAAAAGCAGAAAATAACTGTTTACAACAAAGTGAGAGAAAGAGAGATTAAAAATGAGCACATGGTCAAATATGAAAAAACATTCACAATCAGAAAGGTCAAGTTCTTGAATTGATTTTTTTAGATACTTCTCCTTGATGGCCGAACTATTCTTTTCCATTTAATCTCCATCAGAATTTCCATCTTTACCCCCGTGATTACCCTTTGTTACTCCAGGTAAATGTCCATGACTCCATAAGGATCTTACCAAAGCTAGTCAAAGTCATGCTATAGAGTCATAAAAAAACAATTTAACATCCTATATTACTGAGGAAATAACATGGAGGGGCATTTAGGTAAAATCGTCATTGGGTTTAGGATATATGTAATTATATGTAAACTTACTCATGGGGAAGAGCTATCTGCATATATATATATATATATATATATATATATATATATATATATATATATATATATATACCTTATTAGATGAAGATTTATAGATTCTTATTAGGCATGTAAATGTAAATAAGAACTTATATGTACAGTTACTTGTCTTTTCACTACGATCTATAAACTCATTGACTTCTTCCACAATATCCAGATATGCTCCAAGCAAACTATTTACCTAACAAAAATAAAAATTTCTTTAATTTATCAAATTCAATCTTAGGATACCACATAAAAAGTCATTTAGAAGTTTTATGGATACACAAACAATGAATGTAGATATCTAGCAATCAAGCAGGAAGCAGACACTAGAAACAAAAAAGAATAAATCTTTAAATAATGTGTATTGTGTATATAAGTTTACCCTTGATTGCAATTGTGGCCGAGTAATACTCTTTGTGCAATGCACTTCAAAAATGACTGGTAATCATCTGAGTTTCGCAATCTTTCCTTCACCTTCTTACGAAGACAAAGCATTTGGCCATGTACATCTTCGAACATACAAAGCTTCAATAAGGACATGAAATCAATTGTTCAAAAGAATGCAATACCTTTATAACAACAGCCAAATGGGACTAATAGATACCTTGATGAAAGAGTTCAGCTACAGAGTCTTCAAGAGTACATGGGGGTTCATTTTGGGAAAAATGATATGTCATATCACAATATTTATCTTCTTGATCATGTTCTATTTGTTCTGTGTCTTCTGATGTGTCTTTTTCTTTCTCACCATGTTCCTTAATCTCTTTATCACGTATAGTACATGCTTTTTCATGATCTGGATCAGGCTGGCCAATCCAGCAGGGTTCCTAAGATAAAAATAAATAAATAAATAACATCAACAGATTTTAGGTTTCATCATATATGTGATTATGATTCTAATTTCTAAAATCCAAGTAGAATATTTCTTCTTACCAATCAACCAGCCCAAAAAATGGCATTTCAGGGAAAGCGTTATTCATGCGATGAAGAAGAAACCTGTTTGAACAATCTTGAATTTAACCTTTAAGACACAAGATAAAATTCCGAAAATATTAATTGATACAACTAATTGATATTATGCACAACTTTAATTCCATAACAATTCAGACAATACATCATGTCTTTTCAAACAATTATTCAATGTGCTAGCCTATTATCACTGAATATCTAAGAAATTCCAGCCTAATCTTTGGTTCAAAAACAGAATATATTGAAAAAAATTTATTTCATTTGATCACAAAATGAAAAGGGTCAGCAACATAAATACTTGGCAACACAATTATTCAATTAAGTCTTTTTCACAATCAGCTTCATTTTTGTTTAGCCTAAAATAGAATACATGTTCTTTTACAAAACCAGGAACCCATTTTGTTTTCTCATTGTTTTCAAGCTGTTAATCTTTCAAGTTTTCCACTGCTACAAACCTTGACCAAAAAGATAATGAGGATGAGAAGGGCATTCATGTCTTTTGCTCAAGAGATGAGTATAAAAAGTGTACCAGCTGGAACTGCTCTGTTGGTGAGAGGAGTATCAGATCTCCAACAAAATGGATATGCATGAGTAAAGCTTCCAGATTTGATCAGTTTGCTCTTATCCTGCATACATCCATTACAAAAGGTAAGGAATAATCATTTTACATAAATGCCCCTGTTAATAATTAAATAACATTTAACTATTCTTGCCTTCACTACTTGAATGATATCTTTATCTACCTCTTTGACATATTGACCAATGAAATCAATAACTCTTTCTGTAAAGCATCCATCATCATCAACTACCATAACAAGATTTTCTCCTTGCATAATGAAGAACATGTATCATTGGGTTATAGGAAAAAAGATATAAATAAAGATACAATGCATATGTGATCAACATATTTAAGACCTTATGAATGATTTGATTTTCCAAACAATCATGATAATCATCTTCACCAAATGTTGGAGCATAGTGCACGATTGCAGTTCCACTATATGAAGTTACACAATCATCTGCAACAACTCTGAATGCCACATCTGAGAATTCACCAAACCTACCTTATGGTCACTTGTTTTGTTTTGAAAATAAATGAAAAATGCAACAAATAGCAGCAACAGGTGACAAAATGTATCAAAGAGGACAAACCTGTAACATGAGCTTAAGCTCACACACCATTTAAAATAACCATTTATATGTGCTTCAACTATACCCTACCAACAATCAACCATTACTCCATCAACATTCATAGACTTCAAAAACCTTAATTGGTTCAGTAGACCATCAGGATAAACAACTTCACACTTT